CACTCCAGCCTGGGTAACAAGAGCGAAACTCCATCTGAAAAAAAAAAAAGAAAAAAGACTTGATTAAAAATTATGTTTTACTGTAGGAATCAATTCCTTGGGGGGTGCAATTAATCTTTCCAAATATGTCTGTATTGTACTTGCTCTTTTAATTGTCATCCCATTTAATCACATTTGATTTTCAAATTGTAAAACTGAAATGCAGAACATGTAGGTAATATAGCAGATACAGTCTCTGTGTCATAAAATAATTGGAGTAAATAAGGTTAGTTTTAGTCACAGATAATTTGTCAAAAGAGTAGTGCTAATTCATATTAGTCGTGTTACCAAAGTGTTTTACCTCAAATGAGGAAATGTGTAAAATACTTCATATCTTAGTTTTTTTCTCCTGTGGCTCTGATGAAAGAATGTCCCAGGAGATTCCTCCTAGATAATTAAATCCTGAGTGAGGAATCTGAGGAGGAGGGGAAGGGGTGTCAGGAGTGGGAGGCCGTTAATTACACAATGGAAAATAAACAGGATGTTGATTCACCTGTAAAGATCTCCAAGCCGGGCCAGTGTGGTGGCTCAGGCCTGTAATCCCAGCAGTTTGGGAGGCCGTGGCGGGCAGATCACAGGGTCAAGAGATTGAGACCAGCCTGGCCAACGTGATGAAACCGTCTCTACTAAAAATACAAAAATTAGCGAGGCGTGGTGGTGCGCACCTGTAGTCCCAACTGCTTGGGAGGCTGAGGCAAGAGAATTGCTTGAACCCAAGAGGCAGAGGTTGCAGTGAGCAGAGATCGAGCCACTGAAATCCTGCCTGGTGACAGACTGAGACGCCTCAAAACAATCTTCAAGCCCTGACCGCAGAGTTCAGATTAATGAAACAATATTCCTAGAGCTGGACTTAAGCATGGATGGAAGAGTTCCTGCCTGGCATTAGACTAGTGTGTAATGAGCACCTGGGCTTGCAGAATGTGGGGCTTGGGATAGGAGCTGGGTGGGGAGATTTAAGGGGGAAGAGCTCCCAAGAAACCACAGAAGCTTTGGGTGCCTGAGAGTTTGGGAGAGCACCCTGCTAAAGCATCCTGACCGGCAGGGAGGGAGCTCTTGACTGGTTGTTAGGGAGGATGTGAATGCCGTGCACATAAAGGGGCTGAGTTGACTGCCCTCTGGCCCCACATCTAAGCTTCAGGGCTGTGACTGCCTCAACCAAGTCCTCAGAGTCCAGCTTGGGACCCACCACCTGTCATGCCCCATGCTTCCAAACCTTACCCTGCTGTCCCAAGGGCCCTCTTGCTGTCAGGAAGTTCTCTTTCTAGACAGCCCGGTGTGAATTCTCACTTCCCCCTGGGACTTCCTCCAGCAGGACTGTGGCTGTGTTGTGCATTTCAGCATCTGCTCATCTACTCTTAGGTCATTTTTCTCTTCCATGGTGTCCCTAAGGGGAGGCCAGATGGAATACAGCTTCCCAAAGACTTTTTGCTTCGGCCTCTTTTGTATTGCATGGTCCCTGGCCTATAGGCGTTCTTGAAAACAAAGTCGGGTTTGTTGTTGCCAGCTGAACCAGCTCCTGCTTTAGTGTGGGGATAATTCAGGAGTTCAGAGGAATCGGGAAATACTATTGCCTTATGGTTGGAAACCACTCAGGTTGAGGAGGATTTAAGGAGGCTTCGGTTCCTGCAGCGGAGCCAGGCCTGGAGAAAACGGCACGTGAACTTTTGCCCTTTGAACAGGGCCGTTGTCCCGGCTTCAGGGTTGCAGATATGGTGGCATCAGAAGGATCTCTGAGGGGCGGGGCAGTCACGGTGCCTCTGACCGCAGTGCACTTGGTGTTGGCAAGACCTCGAGGGTGGGAAAGCTATGAAAGGAATTTTAGAGACAGGGCTAAGTGATGGGATGTGGGCAGGAGCGCTGTCTTTGAAGCTGCTTGGCAAGAGAAGGGGGGATCACCTTGAGTGGGGATGGCAGATTATGTTCTGTGTAGCCAGCACTGGTGAGAGCTGCAGCGGCCTCAGTGTGAGGCCGTGAGTGGGTGTCTGCGACGCTGATGGACTTTGTTTCACGCTTCAGTTGAGGATCTGGCTCTGTCCACGAGTCATCTTCTATTCTGACCCTGAGCGATGGTCCCACGGTGCTGGGGGCTCCCCACTCCCTCCCCACTGAGGCAGGTGCTGATCCTCAGCAGAACTGTGCTGGGCTCTTCAGCAGGTGCTCATTTGAAGCCTTTAGATCTTAGGCCATGAGTCAGTGCCATAAATTCCTGAGAAACGGACTCACCTTTCG